TTTGTTATAACCTTTTTGGACTTTATGATAAAATAACCAAACCAAACCCTATGTACATATGTTTAAGTAAAACAAAAAATGTCAAAAGCTTTCCCAGAGTGAGGCCCAGGGAATTTCTCAAAGACTCCTAGAGGACTGTGAATACAGCCAAGTGTACTTGGGAACCAATGATAAACCTCAACCAGAGAGGAAGCCAAGTGACAGACGGCTGGAGGCAGAGCCTGGACCAGGTATCAGCTCTGCAGAGTTTAGCGGTTTGCAGATTAAAGTTCACTATTTGGCTGGTGAATGAATCCAATTCCTTGAGTCTAAAGGATGTTGCCCTGAGCAACTGAGATCAGTTTAATGAATTTGCCCCGCTAATTAATTAGCGCTTTAGGAAACAGCAAACTTCCTAAATTAGGAACAACATGGAGAGGCCAAAAGGGTCAGTCTAGCTCCTCTATTGATAAGCCTGTTGCCAAATGCTCGACATAATCTATTTCCTTAAAAACCAGCAACTTTAAAAACTATTGGCTATCATATCAAGAGCCTTCAACATATTCTTAGGCTGTAACTTTGGGTGTAGTACCTCACCTCTTTGTGTCTCGGGTTTCTTTGTCTATGAGTAGGGAAAATAAGAGAACCTAGCTCAGTTATGAAATTAATAACTTTAGATATATAAAGCACTTGACACAATGTACAGTGCATGGTAATTGCTCGCAGTTGTAAGTTGTGGTTGGAGTTACTGGTATTAGACATAGCAATTCTAATGCTAGGAACCTATTTCGAGGAAATAAAGAGTTTCAGTCAAAAGCGCATATGAACAGGTGCTGTTTTATCTGGAACAACNCTTTCTGAAACCTGAGATGTTAAAGAGAATTCAGTGCTTTGCAAATCCCCCCAATGCGGGGCAGGGTTAGGAGCTCTTTTTCTTTCTTTCTTTTTAAAAGTTTTTTATTTTTATTTTTTTAAATTTTTATTTATTTATTTATTTATTTTTAAAAAAGTTTTATTGGGGAACAGCCATGGTCATTGGTTACACATTGTTTTCATGCCGCAATGGCATAGTTGACTCTTTAGGGAGGGCACAGCTCACAGAGGCCCATGCGGGAATCGAACCGGCAACCTTGGTGTTATCAGCACCACGCTCTAACCAACTGAGCTAACCGGCCACCCCAGGAGCTCTTTTAATTCTTGCCAGAAAATCTGGTCTTTTTCTTGGATGACCATCTTTTGAAGTTTAAAGTACATCATCGCTGGTGAACTTAAGTGGTTTTTACTTCTTAAGTTTTCGTTTATTTCGGTAGTCCATTTGTTAGACTTTAGAGGATGGAGCCTCTGTGACCTGACCTTATTTACGCTAAGAAACCACACAAAAAATCTTTACGAGAAGCACTCAAGAAAATATTTAAAAATAAGTTTATTATAACTAGCGAATATAAAATCTGACAGATGTTTTCAAACATTTTTGCAAAAAAAGTAAAACCTTCCCCCTCCCCCCAAGATACAGAGAAAGAACTTGAACAGAGTTTTACATGGAACCTAAACATGAAATCCTCATTCATCGGTTGGTCCTAAAAGGCTCCAACACATTACAGTCTAAGCAAAGCCCCATTAAAATGAAGAAATCAACAAACCACTTAACACTTGCTTTCTACTGTCATTATGATGCTCAATCAAAATGCTTAAGGACAAGAGCAGGTAACACAAGACTGCATGTGACAGATGTTCAAAGTGCACGGATCTACGAAACCACAAACATTTGAGATAAGAATACCGGGGGTAGAATTAAACATTGACTTAAAAAATTCATCCAAGGAAATCTATGTACATCGTAGCCTTTGGCATCTGGTCTAATGTGTTTCTTCTTTATAGAGACATCATTTTGTCTACTCTAGCAACCAGATTAAATTGACTTTAACACATGTCTCAACTGACACAGATTGTCCACAGCCAATTTCACATGAGGTAGTTGGGCTGTTTACTGACACTCTAGTGAGACTGTCATGGCACAGGGGACTCATACATCAAACATGCCATGAGACTGGCTCATTAGCCTTCTGGAAAACAACAGAAATTATTTCTAGATCACCTTTCTTGTCGTCACTGATTCCATGTATCCCTTTGAAGAGACACACATAGGAGTCTGTGTGGATGAGATCCGCTTTGCAAGTGGTACCAACCATCCCAGGGTGGTTTCTGTTTATACAGTACAGAGAGGAAATACTGACCCCATTTAAAAATATATATAATAGAAAGGATAGTGCTTAAAACAAGCAGGGTTCTCCCATAGCTTAGCTGAAAACATCTGTTCACTCTGAAAGAGGAGTGATTAAAAAGGGTAAACGAAAGAATTTTGAACACTTTTGCGTTACAGAGTAGTGGTATGTGTTTTCCTTTTAAGGAAAGGTTATATAAAAACAGTGGAGGGGAAAGATCAATGCATGCATCAACTGTACCGTCAATAATCGCTTAATCATGCCCCGGAGTGCTGTAATGCAGCAGTGCAAGGAGGAGTCATGCAAATGGCCCCTGTACACAGAACTATGGACTGGAACCGGGTGGGAATGGGGAACACTTACAGAGATGGGCTAGTGATTGGTATGCTCATACAGTTGTTGAATGTACCCCTAACATCCTTGTAATAGATATGCAGTCTTCAAATGCCATTAGACAGCTAGTGAATATCTTATGTCTTTATTACGAAACCCCTGAGTAAGCAGCTGCAGATTACAAAGGGACATCCAGAGACAGAACATTGCTCTAAATACTCTATATACACTTCACAGGAACACAGGTTTACTGCACATGCGGAAGCCTTCGGGCAGACCGTATCAGACCACAAAGAGCATCTGAAGTCAGGCCCTCTAAGACCAAACACACAGATTAGCTCAGCTAATAGAACAATGGATTAAAATATATTTTACTTACAAATTCTAAATCTAAAAATGTAAAAAAAGGTTGACAGTTCATCTTAAAAAAAATGAAACATGGAGTGGGGTAGCTGAAGAGTCATAAAACCTATGTCTAGGATCAAAAGCAACTGGTTTTAATCAGTGATTCAGAAATGCACTATTGTGTAACCAGCTTCTCATAGGACACGGCAGTTTAGTGGGAAAACGAAACAAAACATAAAAATAATTTTCCTTCAGAAAGTTTCCAAAATGTTTCACATCATCTTACAAGATGGCTCATGACCCTCTGATGCTCTCTACTGCCTTAAATGATACTTCTTCACATACGATTTGCACAATCAGATTACATTTCCTTAATAAGATACCTCTTACTTCAACTCTTTCACTTATTTCAAACCGAATCAAGAAAAGTGTACTTTATTTGTTGGTCCCTACCACATAGTTTTTTAAATTAAAAATACTTTTCTGGAACTATGAAGGCAAAAGCATTAATCCTTTGGATACATACATATACGCAGTTAATAATCAAAAAAGAGAAGACTGCACACTGCCAGCAACACTCACCTAACAATAGGTCCCCTTTCCTAGATGCCACACATCATGGTGGCCACCTGCTTCACAGCTACGAATGGGAGAGGCGTTCTTTAAGCTCTTGCAGTCGGGGAGGGGAACCGAATCCCCACCGACTGGGCACCTTACCCTGGGTTAGGTCTGAGCCAGACGCTCCACATACAGCTAGAAGGTGCTGCTGAGGAACAGGGAAGGACAGCTAAAAGGGGGGATGGGTTTGGTGCTCTGATGGGAGCACCGCTGGCAACCTTTAGTACCCGAGAGGAGAAGAGAGAAGCAGCAAAGCTGAACTATGGAGTTCAGATATCCTTCATTGTGGAATATGACATTTGGGGATGCTTTAGGTTCAGAACAGCAGGCACATAATGATGACAAGGTGCCTCAAGCCACTACCTACACAACCTAATGAACACCGTGTTTCGAAGCCAGTCCCCGGGGCCCGACATGCTGACCATTCTGAGAGCCCCACTTCTAGAACTCCCTGCAGAGCGGATGAGACAATCGTCTCCACTCCACAGGCACAAGTTGGTTTTGCCCCCAAAAGGTATCCCTCCAACTTAACATTTTTCACCAGGATTAGCTATTTCAGTAAAATTTGCTTTCAAAGGAAAAAAAAACCTGCCATCTTTGAAAGGATTTTGTTCAGTTAGACAAATGACCATTGATCCCTCTTGAGTGTGGGTGGAGTGCAGACATTGTGAAACTGTGTGCATGAAAGCCAAATGTAACTTACTAGCGTCTACTGATACCTAGAAGACACACCATCTTTTTTCTTCAGGGTCTCACTACAGGTTCCTCTAGAAAAGGAATCCTAAAAATGTTTGAGCAAAGAAGAGCAGGATGGCTGTTCTGTCAACAATCACTGGAGCATTTTCTCATCTCCTCTCACTGTCAGGGTGAAAGAAAGCTTAGATGTTCTGAAATCTTGGAGGATTATGGAGATAAAGCCTTAATTATCTTTTCTCTTTGTCCCATTCTTGGATAGTCAATGCAAATTAGCACAAATTAGGACTTTAAAATGGAGAAGCTAATACTGTAGATTCGAGAGGAAGCTCTGTCTGTGCCAAGCTTCAGGTCCAGTTGAATTTACCACCTAGTATTAGGTGCACTTTCTCGTTATTTTTTTTGAAGGACTCTCAGAGCTTTAAACATCTTAGGCAAACTTAATATGCTCCAGTGAGGAAAATATGGATCAAAAACATTACCCCTTTCCTATAGGATAGGAAAAGGGTGAGTAGAAAATGTAACTCATCCACGTTATTCAAGCTATTCTCATCTGGGTTCCCAGTGATCCCAGATAATATTAAATCCTTCTTCCTCAGAAACTCAGTCATATACACCAAGGCAGTAGCTATGTATATAATTGTGAAATGGCCACCTGAGCAGCTTTCTTTTTGTGTGTATTCAGAGCTTCGGGGGCAAATCTGAGGTACCTTCTGTGTGCCCACCATGCTCCAGACCATCACATGGGTTCACCTTAGGTGACAGGAGCACCAGCAGTTGGTGAGAATGGTCATGCTTCACGACACTTACAATCTGGTAGCATCTCATCCCAACGGCTCAACGCCTAAAGTGTCTTCATTCAAGGTATGAACAAAGGTTGGCTGTTCTCTCTTTTTCGCTTTTAGGAGGCTACGTCAAGGGCAGGCAGTCTGAATTAGCTCCTACTCCCACCATCGTAGTCACACTAGCTAGACAAGGAGACACACCGCTTACTCCTGGTGGTGGTGGCGGTGGGGACAACACACAACACCTCAGCGGCTGCCAACAGGAAGTGCTAAAATACAAAAGAATCAGCATCATTTTAGCACCCTTTTCCTCCACAGCCTTAAAACATTTGACATTGCTTTACTAAGTTTAAGCCTTTTCCAGAAGTCCTTATGTGAGCAGAGTACCTCTATCATTAATTTGAGCTAAATAAATGCCCATTTGTTGAGAGACAGACAAAAGATAAAATCAATAATACCCTCCCTGCATTAATCTCTCTGCCTGAGGAGAGGGTTCTCTTTGCCCTAGGGGCTGCTCAGGTGGCGTTCACCTGCACCCTTCAAAGAACTCACCTTCTACCCTGGGAAACTACCTCCTGCGGGGCAGTCCCTTCCAGCTCCCATGAGGAAGCAGCGTCTCACGGGGAAGGCACCCGTGGCTTCTCTCCCTCACTCTCGGCAGCTTGGCCCAGAGAGACGTGGGCCACAGAACTAGTGTCGCTCTTCTCAGGAGTGAAAGACTCCTCTCCATACGGTTGTTTTATGAAAGAATTCAATCCCACTACTAACTCTGACACGGTTGGTCCCCAAAGCTTTTGAGATTGATAAGCAGATGCATTTAGCTTGCTCTGCACCACTGCTGATTAAAGCAAGATTGATGAGAGAGCACACCGGGAACCATGGTCCCTGAATGTGACACCAAGGCCTGCCGGCTGGGCGCCAATGCTGGTTCAATTAAGAAAGTTGTTGAGTAAACTCGGTCCATGTCTCACTCTCCCTTTCACTATTTTATTGCAAGCACAGACGACTCCTCTTTGGAAACAAGGACACATCATTTAGTTCACGCAGAACACTGCGAATTCCATAAAGGAGAATTTAATCTCATGGTTCCTCAACCCTGCACGCACCAAGAATCACTTGAAGAGCGGACTCAGAGGCAGAGTCCTAAGTCCCACCCCCTCAATTCTGGTCGCGTAGGTTGGGGTAAGGCCTGAGGGTTTGCTATGCAAGAAGCACTCTATGTACACAGAGGTGGTCCAGATCATACCAGAAATCACCTGGTCTCTCTACTTAGAGGCTGTACGACTGTGAGCAAATCCCTCAGCCTCTCATCCTTGCTTCTGAAACTGGGTGATAATCCCTGAATGTCACGGCTTCACTGTGATGTCCAATTGAGATAATGCCTGGGAAAGCGTGCTGCCAGAGGTGGGCGCTCGATGGGCCACCTCGGAGGGCCTGTCCCCATCACTCCCGCACTGTCCTCCAGGTTGGGGTTAGGGCACCACTCATCTCTTCGGAGTCACAGCATCTCAGTCTGTAAACACGATGGCCCTCCTCATTTTTGTCTTCTACCTCCCACACTGCCATGGTCACACCAGTGTCCCGAGTACCTGGACGACACAGGCTCTTCTCGCCCACAGAGCTACGGAGAAGAGCATTCTGGAAGACCGTCTAAGCGCAGAAAAGTCTACGTTTCAACAGCTTTGACAACGGGGCGTAGCTCCCTCCAACGTTTTAGTCTAATTCTAAGTCGACTGAAACACTCCCTGGCTATGAGTTCTAGTCCTTGGTACAGAATTTGCTCATTTCCAGCTTGGGTTTGGGTGGCCCATTAAAACTCAAGGCTAAAAACAAAACAAAACATAATACCAACAAATTCATTTGTCAAATCTGCTCTTATAATTTGCTGTTCAAGTCTATATAACAGTTATGATTTGGTTTTCAGGAGGCCCTTTGAACTGAAATATATAGCACCTTGATTTTTAAACACACAAAAACACATAAGCATTAAAAAAAAATCATATATAAAAGCACTAGGCTTTGCCTCCCCTCCTCCTTCCCCCCAAGTAAGGGGTGGAGAGGGTTGAAGCTGCTGCTGGAAATTAAGTAGGGCAACAAAACTCTTCAGCAAACGCCATTCCCTGAAGTTAGGAGGCGGCGCTGTCCTGCGGACGTCATACCACCTCGTCAGACTCTAGTCCGTGGACCTCGTATAAAGTGTCCAGAATTGCCAGCTGCTTTTCCATGGCAGGGAGGTAAAGGCTGAGGTCCCGTTGCATCCCAACGCTGAAAGCCGCCTTCAGGTGGTCGCCTTCCTTTATGGTTAATGCGGCCACAAAATCTTCGTAGGAGGGAGCCGCCCTCAAAGCTAACTGCAAAAGAATTGCCCGTGAGAATCTGTATCACCTCTCTCCCTCTCTCTCTCTCTCTCTCTC